AATATTCAAAAATTACAAGTAGCAAAATAAAACAATTAAAAAAATCCAGACTGATAATTTTGGAAAAGTCTTATGTCACCGTGAAAGGAAAGTTTTCTTAACTACAAAGCTGTGAGATATAACACTTCATTCAAGCTGTTTAGATTTGTTACTTAGCTGACCAACTCCATTTATTTCAGGGGTGTTATTTCATTAACAGTGCAATTTAAAAACCACTAAATGGAAACACAAGCAAACATTAATTGAATTTTATTTGGAATTATTGTATGCATGAAAACTGAAAACAGTTGCAAGAAGAATTTCTGATGATTGCAGAGCAGCAATTTCTTACCTACAAAAATTATAATTTTTTACGTACATACTTATTAAAAACCAGTATACGTATATCTGCAAAGTTACGTATATTAAAACCAGTATACGTATATTTGCAAAGTTATGTATATTAAAACCAGTATACGTATATAAATACCAAGCGCGAGAATATTTTATAATATAACTCTAATAAATTGAATAAATATATGCTCATATATGAATGACAGCTTTAAGCGAGTTAGAACGGTACAAATTACAAGCTTCGATGTTACATTAAATGTTACATTTCCTCTTGGATGGCAATGATTCATAGATTGCCGATTTTTTTAATTATTTATTTTTATTTTTTTGTCGATGACAGTGTTCCGTAAGTGTCATGACTGTTTTCAGTTAATGCTGTGGAACATCTATCTGTCGTTTCGGAGTGGAGGGAGGGGGTTAATAAAGGATAAAAGCGAGAAAACGATTAAGTTTCAAAACAATTATACATTGTAAATACATAACATATAAGTAAATAATATTTATTATTTTCTAACGCGAATATGTTACATTCAAATACAAAGGTAAGGGTTTAAACTTTTTGTAAAGTGTAATACGTCTCGGAGAAGCTCCGCATCCCCTCTTATTAATTTTTATATTATTCATCTTCTTCCTCCGTACTCTTTGTAGACACAAATTAAAAATCAACCCTAAAATTACTGAAAATTAAGAACTATAAATAAAAAGGCGAAGGATAGTTTTTTGTTACACATTTTATCTAAATAAAATTATTGCGACGTGCAATGCATTGGGAAATCGTTCTACAAAGTTGTGAGATATAGCACTTCAAAAAACGAGATGAGGAGCTGAAAGCTCATGAGGGAAAAAAATATTGGACTATGTTTATAGTCCAATATAAAAAAAAAATGAAAATAATAAGCTTTTTTATTCAAATCCTTTATTCGAAATTATTCTTTCAGAATATTCTGCTGCAGGAACACGATTTGTAAACCATTAAAGCGATAAAATGATAATTCGAAGAACAATGGGTGACGGAATAAGTAATATTAGTAATTGTATAGTGCTTCTTTTTGGACCAAAAATGTTGAATAATGCCATGTGGGTAAATGATCTTTGCGGAAAGGATGGATTTTTTTCCTGCACTTTAAATGTAAATTTTCCGTACAGAACAGATTGTTAGATAAGCTATTATACTGAAATTTGAATTTAGACTCGACTCTTTACGAATAACGCGACAAAAATTATGCTCTTATTTCATAATTGGTTTCCCTTCGTACTTCTGTAACAGAAGTTGACTAAATGCCAAGAATCTAAGAAAACGTTGTTACAAAATTAACAAATGCTATTAACAAGCATAATAACTCACTCTGTTATAATTACAAAAGTGTACTTTTATTAAAATACAGTACACGTACTGAAACTAAATACATATTGTTAAAAAAAGCGGTAAAGAATGTAAATCTAAAATTGATACTAATAAATGGCCATTATATGAAAACATTCAAAGAAAATATTAAAGGGAAAAGACAAAAATTTCTGTCATGACGTTAAACTACAACTTGAAAAATTTGAAGATGGATGCGTTAGTTTTTGGTTTTTAAATTATTGAAAACACGACCTAAACTTTTGTTCTTCAGATAAGCTGTCTTCATTTAGAGGAAATGTGCCATTCTTAAAATAGCAAAAATATTCTACGTAATTTTTAGTACTTTTATAGTTCAGTTAGCAAAAATATTTTACTAAATATAATAGCTCTCTTTTTAAAGAAAAGACGCTCGTAATAACATTCCCGTGAAATGACGAGATTTTTGTGAGAAATAAACATCAAACTAAAGTTAATTTTTCCTAATTTTAAAAATCTGAAAACCTGCATGTAATCTGAAAATTTTTTATTTTATTTTTTTGGTCAATGTATTATTGTTTTTTTGTTTTTGGTTTAGGGCCACAACGAAATATACTTCAAATGACATTTGTGAAAAGAAAGAATTTTTTGCGTCTTAGTGATAAAAAAAATTCACCACATAAATTAAATTTTTTTATATTATTCGCAATAATATAAAAAAAATCCACCATATAAATTAAATTTTTCTATATTATTGGCAATAATATGTATTAAAATTATTTTCCTGAAATGTTATTAAGCATCTTGAAGGTTGATTAATCAAAAACAAATTCATTTCGGGCACAATTTTATAGGGTGTAACAACATGATAAAATACTAATTTGGAAAAGTTAAGGCTACTTTAGCCTTGGCCTGATTTTTACCGAACTTATGAATGGAGAAAAGCTTGAATTAATTTAGAATACTGCTATTTAACTTCACAAAACAAAAGTGCAGATATTAAATTTGACAAATAAAGAATGCGGCTATTCTCTGCGTATCGAAGCTTCGGTATTTAGAGCTCTTAGACGGCCACATCGAATCAATATTATTACTTTTATTATTATTATTATATTAATTATGCGTCATTAGAATACTGTGATATTGTCAATGCCACATTTACTAAAATTTACCCACAAAAATCCGAATGACTATTGAAAGCAAATAAATCATTTTACTGGATACTGAAGCCTAAATAATAAAAATAGGACTTAAAGAGCATTTGGGGACATACTTATCTAGGATCTGTCATGCAATTAATGTTCGTTACTGTAAAACCCCCGGTAAATCTATTAATTTACTACAATTAAACATTATCAAATATTTCTGTTTATACTCATTTAATTTTGAATTTCCATTGAATACGCTGATGCAATGTTCGGAACATAATATTCTTTGAAACTGTATATGATTATTTGTTTAAGATAAATCTGGGTAGTTTGTATTTTCTAATATAGCATTAAGTGAACGAAAGAGAGAGTAATCTTGGCAACGAACGTGCTGTTTGTTATACAAGTATTTCAAATATAAACATGCAGAATTTTCGTACGGCTTTCAACTTCTACAGTAATATACTGTAATATATTTGTTCACGATCGCTTCTGTGACATCATGTAAAAATATTACACTTTTCTCATCTGTTTTTCTTTTCCTTTAAAAAAAAGTTATTGAAAAAAGAAATTCCAAAATTTTTATGAGAATTACTGAAGTAGATTTTGAATTATATTTATATATGTGTGTGTGGGCATTTCATAGTAAGAAATCTTCTTTTCATTTTTTTATTTAAGATGTAGAGAAAATATGCAGTTCTACCGAATTATAGTCCAAAGATTATTTAAAAATAACTTACAGTATTTACCCGAAAATATAACACCTTCGATTATAATCGTCTTTACATTTTAAGATACGTTTTCGGAAATAAAATTGCAGCTATATATTTGATGACAGTTTGTATCTAATTAGAATTCTGCTAAAGTCAGCGTCAGAACTGATAATTAAGAAATGAATAATGGTGAATCTAACAGAACTGTTTTATGCATAAATACTATTTCTTAAGAGCTTGGTGGACAAAAATAAGCATCTTTGAAACAAAACTAATTCTAATACAGTATATTAGCCATCTGAAGTCAAAATAATTGTAGTATTGTTTTCTAACCCCCACAGGTGCGGCTGTTGTACCCGAAATAATATTATTTATTCACCGGCGCTCAGGGTGGACCATTCACGCTCAAGTAGGTCCAGTGTCACTGAGATGACCTAATGACCCCTGTTTCGTCATGCTCCATTAGGATGCGGAAGAGAGAGGGGATAGGAGAACCACAGTTACAGTCAACGCACTCCCTCCCGACACCAGAAGACGGAGCTGGGTGAATTGTTTTCTCTGCGAGGAGCACAACGCCGGTGACGGTAAATTTTAATTCGATTAACAGTCGCGAGAGCTATTGGCGGGCGGTCACGTGAGGCGGGGCGTTCCCTCCCCCCTGAAGCAGGAGCAGAGGTGGGAAGCAAGTGAGGCGGGGGGAGCGAAGAGCGGAGCACGAGGAGCAAGCATCCATTCTCTCTTCTCCTCTAGTTTTCAACCCCGCGTTCGCTGGCGGTTACGATTTGCCATTGCCTCCCTCCATACCGCCTCCCGTTGCCCACGCTAGAGAAACATCATTTAGTTAAAAGCTACTTTTACAGGTCCATGGGCTGCCCTTCCCTAGTGTCGTACAAGTAGCCTGCACCTATAAAGATTACAAGCGTAATCAGGCTTAGTCAGTCTGTTATGTTTGCTCGTGGAAGAAACCTTGTAGCTTATAGTCAAGAGCTTGATTGCAGGTATTATCTAATAATCTGCAAGTGGAATTTGATTTGAAGTTGACACTTTGCTTAAGAGTGTGGCTGGTCAGTAATATTTTTATTTATTGTGCCTCTAACTATAGACAAGGCATAACTGACTTTCATAAACCTAAATTAATTACGCTGCAGTGAAATTTAACTAATTAACACATCATTTAGAAGTGACATACGTCAGAACTGAATAATTTTTCCTAAAGTTTTATTCCTGCTCCACGAACTAATATTCGCCAGTCATCATTTCGCTGCTTCATTCCTCCACTCTGGGCATCAGTATGGACTACCCGTATCTGAACCAGCCAACATTTGACCCCAGCTGTTCTTTGGGCACTATGGAACTTCCCAGCTGCCAATTGCCTTGCTCTTACGCTGACTTGGGTTCCTGTAGTCAGATGACGTCAGCTGCAGCGTACAGGTATAGCACAGCGGCTGTACCTCGATCCTTTGGGGGTCCTACGGCCGTGGGGCCCCCTCCTTGTGGTATGGTGGCCGCAAGACCACGACACGATCAGGGTCCTGCTTCAGTTTTCAGTTCAGCGGGAATGGCCTTGCAAAGTAAGTAAAATCTAAAATATAATATTTCTTTAATACTTTACTCTGAAGAAAAAATTGTTTGTATAAGTACCTTCCTCGAATGCTCCTACTGAGGCAACTGCAGAAAGTGGAGGCAGAACCTTTGCCTTTAAACGTTCGGGTCTTGTAACTCGGTTACCGTGGAGGGTGGGAGGAAGAAGGGCAGGGAGTGCCGAGGAGGAAAGGAAAAGGCCGCCCGGAAATTAAATAATTTGATAGCGCCAGGTCGATGCTGAATAATCCAGAGGATGACTATTTAGATCCCTGGCAGCTAACCTGATTTTCTCGGGCTGCGATTCATATTTCTTCAGCAGGCCAATATACGTCATTTTTCTTGCTTAGACTCAATTTGGGCGAAGCTTTAACCCGGTTAGTAGAAGAAAGCCCAGACCGCCCAAATTTGATCATAGGCCATTGCCACACATAAATCTTCTGAAGAAAAACACTCCCTTTTCTTACCTTTTGGTCAGAAGGTGCCATAGAGATCGGATCACTTTCCGAAGAGCAGTTACGGGTTTCAGACTTTGCCAAGAGAAGCGTGATCCGCTAATGAAGATTTTAAAATATTTTGGAAAAATTTATTTGAATTCGCAATTTAGAAGATTGAGTAAATCAAATTGCCTAAATAATTCTGCTATGTGATTTTGTCAGATTTATAAATGCTGAAAAGAGTGGATAATCACCATCATACATCTTTAAGAAGTTTATATTCGTCAAGATTATGATGTAGTCCACGATAGATGAAGTTAAAGTTGTTACTTTTAATTGCCGCTACTTATTATGGATTATTTGCTGTGCTTTTCCCATTCAATGATGTTGTATTCAAGCTGGTAAACAGTGATGTGAGAAATTAACAACAGGAAGGTAATTTTATTTTTAGATACTTATTCAGGATTTACTTAACAAAGTTTGTAGTTGAGCAATCATAAAATTCAATTTCTTCTGGATCACTAAGTTTTAGGAGAGTAAATAACTGATAAAATTAACTGAAGTCATGAACTTCATTTCAAGCCATTAAAAATATCCGTAAAAAATGTTAGTCAGAAATTAATTGAAAACAGGTATAACAACATTTTTTCAAATTATCGTTATTTTGCTTTATTCATTTTGTTTGTTACATGGGCGTTTCTGTAGTTAAAATAAATAAAATCTTTCTGTAATTATTTTTATATTCTTGATTCTTTCGGAACCCTTGAGTGTAATTTGAAGAACTTTTACTATTTAAAACTCCCAGAAGGATTTTTATTAGGAAAAGATTTGATTCATTTGCTGTAATTGAAAATATGCTGTGAAGAATTCGGAATAAAATTATACATTCAAAATAAGTATTCGTATCTAAAAACATTTCATTGAAAAGATAATTGGTCCTCAAACATATATATATTCATTTAAAGCTAAAACTAGACCCTTTTGGGGATAGAACCAAAGTTTAAATTTTTTTTATTAAAGTTTTTATAAAGGAAGTTTAATATAATTCTATTGATATGAGTTCAGAATCTGATTTTTGAGATATTAATCTGATTGTTATTTACTTCAGTTATTTCTAAAATTACTCTTTACAATGTTTTGAATTTTTTTATCATGCCCATGCTACTTTATAGATATATTAGTCATGTTTCGTTTAAAAATAAACTGTTACAAAATCTTGCGTAAAAGTGTATTATGAGAAAGAACGACAGGAAGAATGTTAAAACACATCAATTCTTGAGCAGAATATATTTTACTCTGAAGGAATGTTAAAACACATCAATTCTTGAGCAGAATATATTTTACTCTGCTTCGCAAATACTCCCAGTTTCTGCCAAAAAGCTGTTTTTGTTATTATAATTGACTAATCTTTGCTATATAATAATATTTTTGCATATTTTGTATCATATCATACCCATAGGAATGATATTATCGTTTTGTAAAACAGCCCGACATCCATGCATAAATAAATGAATGCCATCGTATTTTATTAAAAGACAACCGCAATCATTATAAGACTATACCAGTGCAAATTCCTAAAGGAGTTTTAGTAATGAGTCTTAAAGAATGTATATATGCTTTTGGTTTTCAATAGTCAGCGAAAATATGAGTGTTGCATTATAAAAGCAGCATAGCAAAAACAAATTCTGACAACACGATTTGCCATTTTGCATACGCGTGACACTCAGTACGGTGAGGAAAAATGATTTGTTTGTTATAAGCAGTAAGGCAAGTATTGTTTTTAATTGGTTCTGTTTTGGTTGGACTGAATTAGATGAGAGTTGGTTCAGTTCGGCATCAGAATTATGAATTTGGGTTATCTAACGTGTCAGATATTTTGATATTTCAAAATGAATCTGAAGAAATAAACAAGTAGAAAACAAAATTCCGATTTTTTTAAAATTTACAATGTTTATAAAATTGAAGGTGTCTTCCAAAAAGAATTACAAGTTTTGTTTTAAAATCTTTCAAATACGACAATCGGAAATTTTTGCTATCTATTAATGTTAAATTATTAAAAAATTGTTGTCTCTATGTTAATCTTTATTATATTGCAAAAGGGATATAAACTTATTTTCTAATATATGTTTTTATATTTAAGAGGTGTTTCAGGTAATCAAACACAGATTTTTAATTAATTTTTTTAGCAATTTATCAGATTTGATAAAAAATATATTCAGAGAGACAATGAGAGATGTGCTAATCCAATACTTCACAAAACATACTTCGCAACATAGTTGGAATAGTTTGCCATTTAAAATTTTTACGTCTCTTGTATCATATATGTAAAGTAATTAAAATTAGATACTAGAGAAAAGCAATAAGAATGCAATAAGAATTTACATTATTGTTGATTTTTCTAGCATCCAGTTCATTTAACGTATTCTTTAGCATAAAACTGGTTAATTTCTTATAAATGACAACTCACACGGAAAAGTTTATAACTAGTAATACCACTTCTAACTATTGCATGTATTTAAAAATATTTGGAAAAGTTTTATGATTTTTTTTTCCTTTAGCTTACTAGCTTTCCCATTTCTTTCACACTTATTTCTGCTGCAATAAGAGCAATCGATGAATTTAAACGAAGGATAATGATGCGTAATTTTGCATCCCGTTTAAGCTGTAAACTCTGTAAGCTGTATTAACGCTTTATGAAATTAAGTAAAATGGAAAATTTCTACGTTGGGTTTTAGAAATAAACGCAACACTAATTTAAAAAATGTATAGCACAATATCATTAATAAACTTAATATGGAGATGTAAATATATATTTCAAAAATCAGTAGAATTTCTTTAATTTTTTAATGGTTCAAAAAATTTTAAATTTTTCATGCTCTAAAAATTTGCTTCTGTTGATGAAATATTAGGCATCTATAGATTTGGAATATGAAAGTACATCTGGTAATTATGTACAATTTCATTTATTTTCTTCTAAGTTTTTAAAAGAAAATGCCAATTTTCTTTTTCATACTTATAATTTGTGCAACAGATATAACTATAGTTTACCACGGCAATTCTAAATACAATTAAATTGCTCTTAATTGATTAACACATAACAGAAATCTTAAACAAGGCAAAATGTTACACTTTCCATAAAAAGTTTAGTTATCTGTGAAACGAATCAGTAAGAAAAGGAAAATTTGAGGGAATATCATCGCATAATACAAGGTGTTAAAATAATAAAATAGAGTGCAAAAGATTACAAGTTACAAAGTGCAAGAAATAATTAAAAAGTATCAATTTTAGTTAGCAGTTTTCAAATTTTTGAATTCTGCAGTTTTAGTGCGGAGTGTTATAATTCAATAACAACACAGTATCGTGTATCAGAAGTAATAGCTTCATCGCACGAGTAATTAAGACTTTAGTTCTTTGAATAAATTTAGGATATCTTGTAATATTTGCTTATAGTAATCTGTCTGCGATCTTTGATAGTTCCACAGTAAATAATTGCAAGAATTAAAGTTTTAATTGTATGCTTATCATTCGATACCATTTTCAGTGAATTTTTTGCATCTAAAATGAGTTATTGGAACCGAATTTTATTTCTTTCCAAGAAAAATTATCTTTGAACTCCTGGGGTGGCGCTCATTTTTGCATAATAATGATAATAATAACAGCAAATAATGGTAAAGCACGTTGTGATGACGTGTAAAGTATAAATTCTCCTTCCTATAACTGTTGATAATCGTGCCCATTGACAATACCTTTACTTTATACTGAGTCAGCAGTTCACTTAGAAAATACTGTACAGAATTCACAACATTTGTTGTTGCAGAGACGTTATAATATAATAGATTTAGATTCTTAGTTCTTCAGTATCTGTAATTATAACCATTCATTTGAAAATGTATTTTCCCTAAATGAGAGATTATTTTCGTTAATCTGTTCTACCATTAAATATGCAAAACCATTTCTCTTTTAAGTGTTGTTATTCTTAAGCGGCTAATAAAAGTTTGAACAAAAATATAAAACATTCCAAAGTTCTCATTTCTTTCCGACGAAAATCTAGATATATCTAATTGCCATGAAGCTTTGGAAGGTTTGTTGTCAGATCGTCTATTCCTTGCATCAAAATGATTTTCGTTAACTCAATTTTATCATTTAACCAAAAAATGTTGGAAAAAACTCGAAAAATATGACGAAAATTGGTAATACTGTGAAATCGGCCACTTTTGAAACTAAAGCCTACTGTGAAATCGGCCACTTCAGTAGGAATAATCGTTAACACAAATTATCTACTAAATTCGCGTCAAACAATTACTTCAATAATTTTATCATTTACACTCATGTCCATAAATTAAGGATAATTCGGAGTCACGTAGAAATCGAACTCTAAAATAAATATATCACCAGTAAAATCACAACACACATCTTCAAGAACCGTATGCAAATTTCAGGTAGTAACTAGATGACACTGATGGTACGTCACAATGACGAGAGTGTAAGAGAGTGATATAAGGAATACAGGCAAAGAAGTAAAATTTTTCGCAGGCACTTTATAAGCATTTCAG